CGGTGCGACGTTCCTTGATCTTCTCTTTTACTCCAGATATTCCAATGTACTGAACATGGTACTTCTTCAAGCCTGGAATACTCTTGCCTTGTCTCCATGTGCCGCGGCGACGGCGAGACTGCTCGTATTCGATTGAGAGGTTATCAGGGACAGACGAAGTGCGGCGGAGATCGTGGTTGGAGCGGCGTTTGGTGATACGGCCACCGCCATGCCGTCCCAAAGGTTGCGTAGGAGCTTGAATGCCAAGTTTGGGTGAGGACGAGGAGCCATCGCTAGATGAACGAAGAGATTGGGCAATATGTGGGGGAAGATTGACATGGTGTCGGCGTTTATTCGTGCCGTGGCGCTCAACACCAAGCGAGTTGCCAATCAGGAAACCACCCGACCCACGAAGGCCGCCTTTTAGCTTTTTGAGAGTATTGGCTCGTCTTGGTGCCTCTGGCTCGGGCTCTGGATCTTCAACGTCGCTTGTGTCGCCTCCTTGTGGAAGTCTTTCGTCTTCCTCGCCATCGTCCTCACTGTCAGAGAATTCATCCCAAAAGCCGCGTGGGCGCCAAAAGGGATGAAGCGTGCCGTCTTCGTCGTTGACAGAAGAGGCCTGTGGATTACGGTACGTGAGCTTTTCCTCGTCATTGTCGTAACGCGCACGGCTGGCCCCTTTGCGAGTCAACAGCGGTGTAATGAGGTTATCAGAATAGCGGCGCGCTCGCTGCAGAACAGACAAGCGGCGTTGTGGATTCGAGTCAGAACGACGAGGCGGCCCGGGTGATGGAGCCATTGGCTTTTCCAGTTCCTCCATAGGCGTTGGAGGAATAAAGTTAATCATGGGCGGCTCTGGAGGTTCTCGAGGGTTTTCAAGCGATGACTGGGCAGAGTTGGTCTGTGGCACATCCGTCTGCATCGGAGGGGTCGAAGGCTCAAAAGTCAACGTCGGTTGCTGTAGTTGTTCTTCATTGCTGTTTTGTCGACTAGTCGCAGGGGGTGATGCCACGGCTGGTGTAATACGAGGATCCTGCGCGGTCAAGTGTGAAGCCTCGGTCAATTGGCGCTGTTCCTGCAGCATCGAGTTTCCACGAGCAAGCTGCTGCACGACAAGGAGAGAGTTGTTGTTGTGGGGAAATATGCTAACAGCAGTAGCCTCAGTGACTTCGACCGTGTCGGAAAACTGCGAAAACGGGGTGGATTGGGAAAAAAGATGCCGAGCCATGGCGTGTTCTTCGGTCCGTGAAGCCGAACGCGAACCTGCCCGATCGAAGCTGACCCGGCTCTGGTCACCCGAGTAGCGGTGCCAATCAGGCGAGGCTGAGGAACGGTCCAAGGGGAGTGAGAATCGCTTTGGGTCCCAGGAACCTGGTCGTGATGAGCCCGGCCTTGACGCGCGAGAGGCTGGCCTTGAAGGACGTGAGCCTTGTCGCATAATGGGCGATCCATCCTTGGTGGGCGGAAACTTGTTGAGGTTCTCGATTGTAGCAGGATTGGGATTGGAAGCAGCAACCAGAGTAGCGCCTTCGGCAGTTTCGCGGTCCCCAAGAAGACGTCGGACCCGATCGAGCATGGCAGATGGCACCTGGGCTTCTTCCGCAGGATTACTGGCACCGATGAAGACGTCGCGCTCAACGGGCTCATCTGTACCCGGACTGGACAGCTTGGGAGGGTCATTTTCAACTCCAGTTGGCAGATTTGCATCAGTGACAACGAGCGACTGTCTCACTTTTTTCGACGTTGGTGACATTTGACGTGGCTTTGGCGATATAGGCGGTGATGGTGCGCGCAGAAGCACAGGTGGCTGAGCAAAAGGGTTCTTCTCCTCGTGCGGGCTTGCAGGGGGCAGTATTTCTGAAAAGTTACGAGGTTTGGAGGACCGAATCGTGCGTCTTGCAGTTTCAGGTGCCGAGTTGATGCGCTTGTGGTGGCTCCCGCTCAGCCTCGCTGCTGCACTGTGTCTGCTCAATATGTCGGCCGCAGGCTGTAGCACATGGCGGACAGACTCTTGGTGCGCTAGCGTGTGTGCTGAGCTGTCAATGGTCCTCTGTCGCAGTGACAATGAAGGGGACATGATGCGATGCGATGACGAAATGTCGGACACAACACTGCTTCTGCTATTCCGGTCAGCAATGCTTGTCCTCTTATGCACCAAACGATGGACCGGAGCGCTGTCGGCTTGCGACACAATGGAACTGCGGTCCGAATGCGTGAGGGAGCCAACGTCTGTCGAGGAGCTCATGTCTCTCCTGTATGCCATGTTCTTGCCAGAGTGTCGCAGGGTTTGCTTCCTTTGGGGTGGCGTGACTATGACCTGGGCCGACACTACAGTCGAGGCTACGGACGCAGTCGAGAGCCGCTTGCTGCTGGCCTCGCGCTGCTTCTCTGATGACATGCGCCTGTTTTCCGAGGGCCAGCCAATGGATTGCGCAAAGTTTTCGACGGATGGCGTGGTCGGGCTGCTGTGGCCGACTTGGACGCGTTTGCGCAGACTCGAGGCACGTCTAGCTCTGGTGGGCGAGGGCGAGGCGGTTTCGACAACGGTGACGGCGGGCTCGGGTGTTTTGCGAGGAGATTTTGATTGCGGCCTGCGCTTCTTCCGGACGGTGACATTGCGCATGAGCTCTGTGTTCCATTCGCGGTCTGGGATGTCGTCCATGGTCGGGGATGCCTGGTCGGGGGTTGTATCCACCGTACCCGCCACATCTCTGGCTGTATCCACCTGTTTGGTAGGGGTAACGGGAAAAGAGGGAGCTTGCAGGCTAGTTGGGGTGACATGATTCTTGTCTTGTTCAAAAGCAAGGCCGAGTCCGTGGTCTTCTTGGACGGTGCTGAGCCTGTCAGTGGGTGGTGTTGCACAGGTGCTTTCTTCGCGGTCAGAGGCGAGGGGCTCTTCTCTTGCCGTCTGGAACGAGGTGGCCCGGGAAGAGGGATACGTATAAAGCGGCGGGCGCTCGAGGGTGGCATTGGAGCCGTCGGAAACATTTCTTCGCGGCGGACTGGGATCGGGCGTTGGTGGGCTTCTGGCATTGACGGGCGTGCTGAGGGACGACTTTTGTGATATGAGCGAATTTCTCACGCTGTCGGCATGGGGCGGCTGCTCTGGGGCGGGAGAAGATTTGCCATCTTGCGAGGCCGTGGGAGGTGTAGGCGGAAGGCCGCTGTCTGCTCCATTCAGCCCTCGCGGCGAGGCGAGCAGGGTGCTGTCCTGGCTGCAGACGGTGGAGTCGCTGTCGTCGGTGGACTGTGAGGCATACGAGTCGTCGCGCTCGAGGGAGGGAGGGACTGGACGGGTTGGGTCGCTGCGGCGCGGGAGCTGTTTGGACTGGCGGAGGTTGGGGGCAGCGTTGAAGGCCGACTCGAGGCGGGCATAGACGCCAGGCGCGGGTTCGGCCATGTCGCAATGAGGAGGGCGATGGGCGGTCGTCGTGTGCCTGGTGGTGGACCCTGGTGGCAGTTGGTCTGGCTTCAGGACGAGGCCATGGCGTCGGGGCGCAAGAGGGCAGGGGGCTCGTGGCTACGTGTAACGGCGGCGGCGTCGGGAGGGGGCCAGCGGTGCCTGGCGGCTATGTAGGGGGCCGCGATGGCAGGGCGGTTGGCCGTGGGCTCTGTCGAGGAGAGGGTGTGGTGGTGAGGCAGGCAGCCTTGAAGGTGCAGCGCCAAGGCCGGCGTTCACGATAGAGGACAGCAGGCGCACAGCCGGGCGAGCGAGCGAGGGATCGAGCTGAGGCGGTGAGTGTCGCGGCCGGCGAGGATGCCGTGGATGCCGATGGGGTTGTTGTCGTCGAGGCGGTTGTCGCCGTCGTGGCAGCGATGCGGGGCGGGCGACGAGCAAGAATTGCAGCCAGGGGGGCGGGCGACGGCGTGCGTGGGTGTGGGCGAGGGAATGCAGGGCGTGCTGTGCTGTGCTGTGCTGTAAGTATGTCTGTGTGTCGATGCGCATGCCGGCCTGGGCATGAATGGCCGCCTGCATGTGTGGCCCGCCCAGTCCAGACCATCCCATCCCATACTATACTACACTGTCAGGCCGATGCAGTCCAATTCCTCTCCTCCCTCTCGCAGCGGCATACACACTGCTACCACCACTACCGCTACCACCACTACCACCACTACCACCACTACAACACTGTCGTTGGGTGTCGAGCGGCTGGCGGGCGCTGACAGCATCAACAACGCCCCCCAGCGCCGCCCTCGTCTCCTCATTCGCCTCCACCACGACGCCATTCTCTTCACCCCGACCATTCTGCGTCACTTCCATGCATCCCCCTCTTTCCCCTCGTCCGTCCTGCACACCCCCTTACGGCTGCCCGCATTCACCTTGAATCATGTGCTTTCCCACCTCCCAGCCCCATTCCACACCTTGCCCTCTCTCTTCTAGACTCGGCACAGTCGGACGTGCCTGCACGAGTACATGTATCCTCCCATGTCCATATCTAACTATGTCCTGTACAGCTGGCCATGGCCTGCATCTACTTACCCCCTCGACTCTCTTCGGTCCTTCACTGCACAAAGCTCTGCAACAAGCTCCAGGCCTGTGCTTGTGTGGCGTCGCCCCATGGCAGCCACGCCATCATGTTGCTGCCGCCAGTAAGCAATGAATATCCAGCATTGAAATTTCATTCAATACCAGCCCACAGACTGGCATATCGCAAAATTGTCTTCTCCGCGCATCAGCCTTGTGCTACACCGCCACATAAGCCCATACTCACCAACACCACTCCAACTCAACTCCCCACAGCCATGACAACAATGAACGTCACAATGCTGCAATGCCACTATCCGTCTGTCAGTGGAGCCTCAATACCTCAGTGTTACAATGTACAAGGACCCACGTGACGTCACGAGCAGTCAGTGCCATTCGCACGCTTCCCTCTCACTCTTCATCACATTGGGTCCCAGCAACCTCCACCATGGATATAACAATGGCCCAGCCAAGCACTAGACACAACACCACACACACACATACGGTTTCAGTTTCACTACATATTTGATTACATGATTCCAATTCTTCTCCAAACATGCATGCCATCGCAGTCACCCAATACGGTCCAATCTCCAATCTAAAAGCAATCAACCTCCCACCTTGCGCAGACCCACAAGGCTACGACATAGTCGTTCGCGTAAAAGCTTGTTCTGTAAACCCAGTCGACACCAAAGTCCGAGCAGGAACCTACGATGACTACCCAGACTACTATGACCGAGCCCCTAGTCTACCGCAAATCCTCGGCTTTGACGGCGCTGGCCTAGTCGAGAGCGTGGGCTCTGAAGTTGCACACTTCAAGCCTGGCGATCAAGTTTACTACTCCGGCTCGCCCATCCGCCAGGGAAGCAATGCAGAGTTTCAGCTTGTAGACTCACGCGCAGTCGCGCTCAAACCGAAGAGCTTAGACTGGGGCCAGGCTGCCGCTATGCCCCTAACCTGGATCACAGCCTACGAAGCCCTGGTTGAACGAATGGAGATTCAGCGCGGGGAAAATGCAGCCATTCTCATCATCAACGGCGCAGGTGGTGTCGGCAGCGTCGCCAGCCAGATTGCGCGCCATGTCCTCAATCTGCCCGTTGTAGTGACCACGGCATCAAGGGACGAAACAGTCAAGTTTTCAAAAGACGTCGGGGGCGCTACACATACCATCAATCACCACGACAACATTCCCACCGAGATCGAGAAGCTCAAACTAGACGTTCCTATCAAGTACATCTTCATCACGCACACACCAACATCGGGCTACCTCGCTCCTGCAGCAAAAATCTGCGCCCCTTTTGGAAAAGTCTGCTCGATTGTTCAAGACAAGGAAATGCCCATGTATTCTACAGAGTTCATGGCAAAGAGTCTGGCTTTTGTTTGGGCCCTGTTGGGCACTAAGCCATATTACGGCGTTGATGTCGAAAGCCACGGCAAGATATTGAAGGATTTGGCCAGGATGCTAGACGAGGGAACGATCAAGTGTCATTGTATGCACAAGCTCAAGATGGATGCCGAGGGAGTGAGCAAGGCGCATGAGATTATTGAAGGCGGCAAGGCCGTTGGCAAAGTAGCGCTGGAGTTCTGAGAGTGTATGACCAGTTGTAGATATCACATGAGAATGATTACATAAAGGCCAAGGGTCACGAAGAAATGCCTAGTATTCCATCCTTTCCTCCGGCACTTCAGAATTCAAGGGTCCTACGTCACCTCCCGCCGCATCCATCCCATTCGGGCAATTGTATCCATCTCAACACCACCACCTACTCCCTCTCCAACTCCACCCTGCAACACCACATCCTCTTGCACCCATCATGCCCATAGCCGTAAGATCCTACATCCTCCCCCCAACCCCCCAAATCCCAAACTCCCCTCACCCCCTCCTCCACTACCCAGGCCTCTTGAAAGAAACCGTCACATCCCCCACCTTCACCCCGACCCATCTCCTAGACCTCTACGCCAAAAACGGGTGGCAAACCCAATGGATCGCAAAGTACGGCCCGGACATCCAATCCCACTACCACTCCACCACCCACGAAGCCATGACCGTCATTTCCGGCGCAGGCGCCATTATCCGCTTCGGCGTTGCCGACGCCCCAGACTGGCAGCCAGGCATGTACGCGCCCGGCGAACGGGGCGAGAACGCTGAGCCCGGCGGCCTAGACATCGAGGCCAGCATCGGCGACGTCTTCATCATCCCCGCCGGCGTCGCCCACAAGACGTTTGCCCCGCGGCCTGCATCCTCCAACTTGGCTTTTCACCAACCCAAGGATATTGCGTCGGGCGCGCCTGCAGAGGTGACGGATGAGGTTGAGCGAGAGCGAAGGACGTTTTTCGACCAAGTTGCCATCAAAGGCGAGTTTATGATGATGGGCGCGTATCCGTATGGGAACGTGTGGGATTTTAAGATCGGAGGCGAGAGGGGAAGAGAGCAAGTGTGGGGTGTGCCTTTGCCCGAATTGGATCCCATATTGGGGGGTAGCGACGAGGGGCTTGTGGGCTTGTGGCATTGAGTTTTGGGCTTGGAGAAGTAAGAGGGGGTTTGGAGGGTGAGGGAAGGGGAAGAATTGAACATGTTTTGTAGGCCGGGAAAGGAATTTTGTTTTTTTATAGATTGAGATCACTTGATGGATGGATTGGGCATGGCGGGGTTTTCTTTCAGGATGCCGCCATGAATTTTATCATGATGCTTGGGAATTTGTAAAGTTTAGAGGGGGGGTTTTTTTTTCCCCCCCCCCCCCCCCTTCTATTAATGAAACATAGCTCCTGAAGTGTAAAGACTAATCAAGTGTTTAAACTATAAATTCTTTTGAAGTTTTAATCTGCAGGAAAGCAGTTTGTAACTTGTAGCGTAAAAGAAGCAATCTTGATTTCTACTCATGTTTTAACCACTTCACTGCTTCTAAGCTAGTAGAAATACTTTATCTAGCTACGCACAAAGTCCACCGCAACGACCATCTCACCTTCAACATAACCCATTCCACTACTCCGACACAAACACCACCAAAACCGTTGCGTACCTATCCCCCCGAAAAAAAAAATTAGCCCTGCTACTCCCATGTAATCACGAATAAAAAAAAGGACAGGGAGCTTTTGCACACTTACGCCGTACCAGCGATGAACAACGGCACCGTATTCGTTTTCTCCAGCATCGACAACATGGCAACAACGAGCACAGTTGCAAATACAACAACCATCATGCGACTCTTCTCTCCCTCTAGCAAGTTGCAGAGAAGAACAGGCGCAAGCAAGACGGCGACTAGGATACACGCAATGAGAAAGCGTGTTATGAATGCACTAAGTGCACCGTTGAAAATGAAGATATTTGCGTCGCGCGAGACGGATCGTTTCGGACCCTAAGACGCCCCTTTCTGTTAGTCCGTGATCCTTGTATCTTTCTTGTCTTGATGGAGTGATAGAGCTGGATTTTTCACGCGGGGAAAAGGAAACAATGCGTGCGAACCTTTTTGCAATGCTCAATCATGGAAATAATCACGTCTTCGACCCAGGCTTGCATTGCTTGCACACCGGACTCTTGCTCTGGACCGAGCGTCATCAGATCGCGCTCTCGCGACAGGTATTCGCGCTCGGTGCGGCCGAGACACGCTGTGTTTCTGACAAAGTTTTTCAGACTGTGTATGCTGCGGGTTGGTGCTTGGGTGAAAGATAGAATGTCTTTTCCTCGTTTGACGAATGCATCTGTTTAAAAGATAAGCGGCTCAATCATCAGCGCTTTATTTCGGGCCCTAATGTTACGATTTCCTTATCAAGGACGAATAGTCGAATTACCGTAATCTGCTAATCTTGTGTCGATTTCGTCTAGCAATGCAAGTCTTTTGCTGTTTCGATCTAGTCGGCTGCAGCTGAGGAAGAGCGGGGCCTGCTCGTCGTAATCGGTGTTTTCGAGCTGTTGCTCAAGGGAAGAGAGTTTGTCCTGCTTGATTAGCAGGAGTCGGGCACGCACAGTGGAGAAACGGCGGCAAATGTGGAAGCAGCTGTCTGCGGCGATGAGGGCGGATAGTTGTGGGTAGCCCGGACGGTAGTCTTCGACTAGGGACAATTAGTAGCTGGCTACTTAGTATGGGCGCGAGGGTTGATAGAGAATGAGCCAATTACTTTGGCGTTCAGTGTGCTGCGAGGAGGTAGTTGATTTCGAACTAAAGAGCGCTCGTATGCGGTTCAACAGTGAGTGGTGTCGTTTCCGGCTCGGTATAGCTGGTGCAAATGCTGTAGATAGTTAGCGACAAAAAAAGAGTGGTAGAATGTTTGTAGTTTCCTCCATTACTAGAGTTGGCTAGCTCGATATCTGTAGCTGCACGGATTGGTGCCATGATTTTTGAAAGTTGTTGGCCGAGAAAGTCCTTCCAACTAGTACATCGACCTTCGTGGGAAGAAGTACCCGAGGTTTCGTTCCTGAATGAAATGATGTTTAAATGTATCCTTCTTGCATTATTGTAGGGCAGCCACTAGACGTGGAACGCCTGGGCCGTTGGCTAGAGTCTGCATGAATTTGCCTTGCCACGTCTTTCCACCCAGCTATTTTGCGTCATTAACCGGCTCGTTCAGCCTCGCCGTTCTGTCGCTTCATTCTTAAATCTTCACTGTGATTACAGACCTAGTGAAGGCACACCATCATGTTAATGATCGACTAAGGATTGTTCTTTTCCCAGAAAGATCCCACACGATGGCAAGGCTTACGCGCAGCTATCTAGATGTGTAAATGGCGTTAGAATACGATGTAGTACAACATGCTCCAGCTTTTAGGCACTGTTGATTACCCTCGTTACCCCTATTGGTCACTTGTCGCCCAATCGATCGAATCCTTTGTCCAAATCTGCCTCGCGCATATGACCCCGCTCTGGCTCTTGACCGGAATCTGAGAAGATGACTTTTGCAGGTTTAGTTAGGCTGATGTTGCGATGATATATTACTAGCGCGTGTATGTGCCCAATGCCATAAACTTCCTCAAGAGTTGTTGTCTTTACCCATAGTCTACATAAGCTCTAGATATACATAGCCATGAGTCTCCTTGACGAGTAAGCGTACGCTCATGCATCTGAAAACGCTTTAACATTGTATAGGGATGATACACTACCCCAATTTGTAGTTGATGACAAGCCCACGCGGCCATGGATCAAACAGAGCCCTAACGTACGTACGACTGAAACTCACGTCGGAACAACTGCCTTTAACTTTGACAGAGTCCTTCTTTTGATCCTGGAGATCGAGTGTTCATCAAATTATCCGAAACAGCAAAAGATGGGCCGTACCTTGTCGAAACTTTTGATGCTGGTACGGGGCAGTACACACTATGTCTTGACGATGGAAAAGGAACAACTGCTCTTGGTGGAAAGAAGTTTGTGGAGGAATCCCTATTACGTGGTTGACAATTTCATTTCTCAAGCTCGCTCTGTACTATGCGCTACAAGAAGTTTTCACAATAAAGTCTTGAGTCGACCAGTACTCGGTATTTTGTGACAGATTCCGGTTCGAGTCTGCGAGCTGATGAATCGAATTCCGCATTCTCTTGATGTACTCTGACATTCTCGAGCGGGAGCCACTGCTGCACCCGATCAGCTTAGGAAGGAGTTGAGAAGCGAATGAGGTTGGCTGGCTAGTGATGAATATCTTCAGAACATCCTGACAGGAACGTATATCTTGCGCCTTCAATTCTTCTGGAATCTCCATCTCTAACTCGCATTCCTCCACTTGGTGAGGTGGAATGACCATGAATCCTCCTTCTCCTCCTTCTGATAGTACGTTTACGATTTCCCAACACGAAGTAAGGTTCAGGATTGCAAAATACAATGGTTTGCCGCAAAGATTCTGGACACGTATGCTGACGCGATTATGCTCACTGAGTTGCAGTATTTCGTTTTGACGAGCCGTGGAACTACTCTCGCTTTTAGCCGTGATTTGGAACTTTTGGACCCATTCGGCCGTTTCGGCACGATTCCGGATTGCTTCGAAATATTTGAATGCGCCCAGATGTTCCAGCGCAGCAACTACAGAGGCCATCGCATCGGTTTGGTCCTGTGGGACTATTGGTGTACCTACGACTGTCTCTAGCGAGTCCCACTGTATATGGTAATGGCAGTCTTTATTTGTCAAGTTGAACGCGGAACAGCCTCGCAACTCCGTGGTCTCTGTTGTTATGAACGCTTTGCTTGAAATGGACTCAATCCACTGGTCATGGTTGTGTATGATATCCGAAAGTCGTACCACAGCCTTTGTAGGCGCTGTGGATGTCAGGAGCTTCGCTTTCGCAACAGCGCCTGGTCGGTACCCCTTGGAATTCACCACGTCCAGCTCGGATGTGAGACTTCCCGTTTTAGTTACTCTGGCTTTCCCCCGTGGCAATTGTCTTTGGATTGATCGAGCATCCTGAGATGAATAGAGATAATACAAAGCGAACTCATCTCCAGCTACAAGTCCATGCGCCGCACCCGCAGCTAATTGGAGGCTGTCAGCATTGGCCAGTTTGTAAACAGGTACCAAGGAAACTTCTGAATCTGAATACAGTGTCCCAAAGAAGGTAAAATTCTCGTTTCCGTATCGCATCGGGATCTGGCTAAGACAGCGCACTTGGAATTCAGTGCGGATTAGGTCGTATAAGGAGCGACACGTAATCTCTATACCCTTCTTCAACAGGATTTCGAGGGCATTGACAAGAATGAATGTCAACATGCCATACTTCTGGTCTCCAACTTGAATCTCTTTGTTCTCTTCTTGAGGGCCGCACGCGGCAAGGATCACATAGCCTTCTGGGTCAGTGAGCCATTTAGACCGAATTCGTGCGCCGCGAAGCCCATCGCCTACAAACTGGTTGTCTAAATGAACAGAATCTCTAGAATTCAATCTTGGATCGTATGGTATTGCGCGAAGACGACTCCAGTCGCGTTTGGAGCGAGCGACACTTCCAGCAAAGCAGCAGTCGAGAACTAGTGAGACTAAAACACCCTTGGCGACCATGCGGTTGAGGATTCTTGCGATCTCTTCACCCTGGAGATAGTATTCCCCACCCGTGTCACTGAATAGCACCAGAGCAAGGTGGCCATGTACGCGCGAAGCAGATTCTGGATCTGGAATGGTCGTCCCATGGCCAGAAAAGTGGATGTATACAACATCTCCCGTCGTTGATTCCTCCAGTATCATCTCGAGGCTGTGAATCACATTTTCGCGTGTAGGCCATAACTTGGGATCTTCTGAGGGTGCGCCCTGTGTTGGATCTCGCGGTTTGCTGGATGTGAGCGTTATAATTCTCGCCGTCGGACGAGACTTTTGGATGAATTGGTGAACAAGCTGGACGTCAGGTACGGAGCCCAGTAGATCGTTTTGTCCCGGGATGTTGTAGTAATTTACTCCAATGAGAAGTGCCTTGTATGCCATTTTTCATGTTCAGGCACAAGACGCCTTGGTGATGTGAGTTCTATACTACATAAAAAGGCGTCAGCCTTGTACATGTAACATAAACCCTGGGTTCTCTGGTGTCAACGCCCATAGATTACTGCCGGTATGCGGATGATGCCCAATCTCGATGCGCGTACAATTGCCATAATCGTACAAGCGTTATCTTCATTTTCTGACCGGTCATGCTGTGTAACATCACGGGAGGACTCTTTAAGTAAGCAATGTACGTGGCGCATTGCAATTTGTTCAATAGTACCAAGCATCTATCTCTATTTGCGAACTTTGCCCTTGTTGCCATGCATGGTTTCAAGTCGTACCGAGCAATCTGTTTGTTGGCTTCATCGTTATTCATACCTCCTCAATGACCAAACAAGCCGAAAACGCTTGAGAAGATCTCCACTCGAACAACGAATGTGAACCAAAATGGAACTTGACGACGGAATGCCCAGAGAAAGAATTCTCATGGACAGAGCTTGTAGGAACCCAGCTAGTCCAGCCATCGAAGCTAACACAGCCAATGAAGCCGACATTGAATCATTATCACTGGAAAGCTCCCTGCAGCAAAGCGAAATTGAACTTGTACGCTTACAAAGACTAGTTAAAGCTCTTCGACGACCCTTACCCTCACAATTGATTGTAGATTTGGATGAGATGATTCAAATCTGGAGAAGCAGAGCTGCATTACGAACCTTCCCACCAGCGACGCGATCGCATATATTATTGATAATAGGAATGAGTCTAAGCATTCGAAGAATACTAAAAAGAGAGGAGGATGTCAAATCAAGTACTGAAGATATGGTACAAGCTATCAAAGTATTTGTGGAATGCTTGATGATATCCAACCGTCACGATTATGAAGGAATATCTGCACGATCCAGGCGTCTTTTCCGAGAGATGGAGGAACTGATTGAAGGGCCTTATTATAGAGAGCTAGTTGAACAGATCATCGAACCACTGCGTACACTTCGGAGCAGGCTACCAGAACTCGAAATGAGTCGACGGTGGCTGGTCGCATTATCGAATATTCACATTGCTCGATATCTACACAGTGATCTCGAAGCAACTGATAGTCTGGACGATGCCATACAAGGACTTGACCATTGGCAAAACAATTTCCCCGACGACCCTATGTTCGTGTCCTGGTACCCCGACCTTGTAGGACGTCACGCCGCCAAATTTCTGGCCACTGAGAAGATTGAAATTGTAGATCGACTCATAAAGATTTTGTCTTGGATACGAATTCCATCAGGACAAAGCCTTGAAGACGATGCGTTAGCTAAAAAGCTAGGAGAGGTTTTTATAAAAGTCTTGCAGCGCTTCTATAGGCAGAATGCAGACTTCCGCGATCTTCATCGAGCAGTTAGAATCTACGATGAGTTCAAGAACTATATGGTCATCAAGGATCCATGGATGCCAGCCCTTTTGTGGTGCACCTTGAGTGACGCAAGTGGAACTTGGGGCGATGCAGATCGTGCATATCGACTTATGGAGGTAGCCATGAAAGAGCATCCACCGAATGTTGAATGCCTCACAGATTCCACTTGCGTTTGCATCAGCACAATGTTCGCAGTCCAGCACCTTAAATACAGTCGTACTAAAGAGTCTGCAATATTAGACGAGAACATTGCAAAAGCAGAAACACTCTTAGCCGAGGCTGTCAATAATGCCAAGGCCTGGTCATATATAACATCGCAATTAGCAGATTTATATGCGGCTAGAGGAAAATCGAAAATGGAAAACTCGGATAAAAGAGGAGCAGAGGAGGATCTTCGCCAAGCCATGCTCCTGGCAGAGGCGCATCTTGCAAAAAGCCCTGGAGAATTCAGAGCCGCAAGCAGCGCTGCAAACATCTGTAAAAGTTTATTTGATATCACGAAAGAGCGATCGTTTGTTGACAAGGCTATCATCCACTCAGTATCGGAATGTGATCGCTCCGAGTCTCGAGATGAACCGCAGTTTTCCGGCGATTGCTACAATACTGGATCGTTACTGTTGCAAAGAAACAGGGTCTTCCATGACACCAAAGACAGAGAACAAGCTCTCGATATTCTCAAGCGTGGTTATCAATATACGAGGGGGAACTTGGAATTGCGTATATTCTGCGCACATGAGGTTGCTCAGGCCATGGAGGAGGAATCGCGTTGGGTGGAAGCCAGCTCGTTTTATCGACTAACGATAGAGCTGATACAGTCTTTCGAACTTCAACACATGAAGAATGTTGACAAGCAAAGGAAGATATCCCAGTTCAGCCTCGCCGCAACCTCTGCAGCAGCAGCCTTACTGAACGCTGGAGGCTCGGCCGCGGAAGCTCTCTGCCTGCTAGAGTCTGGACGAGACCTCTTGGCGAACTCTCTGAGGGAGTTACGTGGCGACATCTCCCAACTCCAGGATGCTCATCCAGCTCTAGCAAAAGATTTCATCACTCTTCGCGAAGTGATTGATGTATCTCCTGATGAACGAGCGGCAGTCGCCACCGCTGCCATTGAAAGTATTCCTGAACTCCATAGAATAGACCGGCAATATGCGGTGAATGAATTTCGAAGTCTCATTCATGAAATCAGGAAGCTTCCAGACTTCACTGAATTCCTTGCCACGCCCACCGTCAAGGAACTGATGTCTGGAGCACGAAATGGCTCTGTCGTTGTACTCAACTATAGTCAGTCGAGATGCGACGCAATACTCGTCACCGTTGATAAGATATCGCACCTTCGTCTTCCTATCAAGGGAATGCACGTAGTAAGGAAGGTCCGACAATTACGAGTGTCTGGCATCTCATTTCAACTGTTGAAATGGCTATGGGACATAGTCGTCTCTCCGGTGCTCAAGGAGCTTGGATACGACAAGGCTCCTCCTGACGGAAAACATCCACGAGTATGGTGGATACCCACGGGATATTTCAGCCTTCTTCCAATACATGCCGCTGGTGTACATGATGATAACTCACCCAATACAGCGATGGACAGGGTCATGTCGTCTTACGCTACTTCATTCAAATCCCTCCTTGATGGAAGGCACCGGATTGGAACGAACCAAGAGTCGGATAGCTCAAAACACATCAGACGCGCAGCACTAGTGTCTATGAGCACGACTCCAGGTCTTGGACAAAACCATGATCTCCCTTTCGCCGAAGAAGAGATACGAGTGGTGAAAGGGTTGATGACTTCGCTCAAACTCGAGGTTGCCGAACCATCGCCTAACCGTCTCGAGGTCTTAGACGAACTTCGCCGCAGTCAAATTTTACATTTTGCAGGACACGGAGGCCCTAATGATGAAAACTTGTCGGCCAGTTCCATTCTCTTGAGTGACTGGAAGGCCAATCCTCTCACAACCGAAGATGTTCGCTCAACGTCTCTGGCTGACTCGCCACAATTTCTGGCGTACCTTTCTGCGTGCTCAACTGGCCCAAACAACAACGCGAGTACTCTTCTTATCGACGAAAACATTCACCTCATCAGCAGTTTCAGATTAGCTGGATTTCGTCACGTAATTGGGACACTCTGGGATGTGCAGGACGAGTACTGCGTTGATATTGCAAGGATTTTCTATGAGACTTTGAGAGATGAAGAGATTTCAGATGACGCGGTGTGTCTTGGTCTTCATAGAGCAATAATGACTCTGAGAAACAGGACTATTGGCACACTTGTCAAAATGGACTCATCTTTGACAAAGACTAGTGTAGAGAATACCAGCGTAAGGGTTCGAATATCGTCTAGTGTCCAGTGACTGATTAGGTTTAGGTCACAACTGTTGATATCTCACAAACAGTCAACACAACTTCTATAGATCTAGTTGGTGTCAACAAGCCTCCTATTACCTCAGACATGCGCACGGCTAAACTGGTCAATAAACTAGCAAGGCAGGAGAATAGATTGCACCCACGGTATTGGGCCCCCTATGTTCATTTTGGATTGTAGCGCATTTTCTGTCTAGTTGTCTTTCTAGATATTACTTGGAGTCGGGTTGTAAATGATAGGTAAAAATACAGAATTATATTAATCTAACTACGAATTGGGACCTCCAATGAGAGAGTTGAGCATGGGGCTAATAACAGGAATATCTAGCCAGACAGAGTAGCCCGAATTAAGCTCAATTCTATGTACCATAACTGAGCCTTTTTTTATCGATTGATAAGAGACGGGGATACCCAGAATGAACCATCTTATTGTAAGGCCACAAAAAAAAGCAACATACTATCCACTTGGTGGCATTCTGCCTCATGCTAGTTACCTTCAACAGTATCTCATTTTGCACCAGCACCCCGATGCACCATATTCCTCTTCCGCTCCACCGCCGGATCCAGAAAAGGCGACGCCGTAAGCAAAGGGTTGTACGAAACCACTATCATTGCTGCATTAATACACGTACGCCAAACAGCACACGGTCCTTTGCTTATAATACATACCTTTTGCTTTCCGCGGCTCAATGACAAATTCTACCTCGCCCCGCGACACAGCCGCGTTTTGTACCAATGCTGACGTCAGGGGCGTAGCTGCTTTCTTCAAAGGGTGCTTTGAGAGGAGTGGGCGATGCATTGTGATCCCAAACAATAGCTCTTTCACATAGCATGTGTATATGTTTGCTTCGGGGATAGCTTGCGGAACATCGGATAGCTACAGGAGTTACTGCGGCTCGCTGCGTCTTTGGAATCCGTGGTACAAACTATCGATCTTGTATGTTTGGGTGGGGCTGGCACGGGTGGCTGCTTTGTATGGTAAGAGATGGCGACGCTAAGGGGAGCGTGGAGTATCACGTGAGGTATGTAGCACAAGATCGATTGACAGGTGGAGCCGCGGGTACGTGCCGAGGGTTAGGCGAAGTGCGCTAGACTCAAATAGGGTCAGTCTACATTTATCGGATGGTCATGATGTCAAGATTTGGACATGCACAAACTCTTATGCTTTGGGAAGGGTTACAAGAACACATGATCAGAGTTCCCATGGAGAATCAATTCAGGGAAAAAATAAGGCATAATCAGAGTTTCGATACAGACTCCGTTGTTCGTGATATTATTCTCATAAGCAATGGCTCAATCTTCCCCTTCGTCGAAGCTATCGTGGTATCTACAGTCCGCTCTTCTCGTTCTTCTCGTCGCGTACGCTCAAGGTATCGACGTTCTCGGCATCGCCAATCTCCCTGCCACCCATAAAACTGCTCTCCTTCATATTATTCAGTGCATCTTCCTGCTTATCGGCCTTGCGGAAAGTCATCCAGAAACCAATACCACCACACAAGGCAACAACAGCGACGGAACCGTAGTTCCATACTAGCAGAGGATCTTCAGACAAACTGACAAAAGCCTGGCCTAGCGCTGCGGACACTGCAGAAGTAGAAAGTGCGATAGCCTGAATGGTCGACTTCATGTTGCTGGGTGCCTTTGTGTACGCGTACTCGAGCTTGGTGATGGATGCCATAATCTCGGAAAAGCCAATTAGACCGTATGGCACGACCTGAACCCAGACGGTGATGTCGGCGTTGCAGTCCTTGCGTGTCTTGCTGAGAGCGTTGATGTTGTCTCCACATGGTGACATCTTGTAAATGAAATACTGTGTGACGCAAGCGGACACCATAGCCAAAGAACTAAGCGCGAAACCAGCCGTAATCTTCTTGATAGGCGAGAAAACAATGCCTGCCTTCTGTAGACCGGGGTAGATAACGAAGTCCATGATCGGAATCAGGATGATGATGAAGAGGGGGTTCAGCTTTGAGATGATGTCGTTTGGGACGTTACCCAAATTCATCGTGTTTGCCTGAGAAACAAGGTTGCCCGTCATCTGATTGTACGCGAGCCAATATAGCGGAAACCAGACGAAAACCTTACAAGCGAGAATTCCTCTCTTTACTTCGTCAACCCAAGCATCATCAAATGTCATCCAATCAGGGACGGGACGGTTGTTGCGACGAAGAACGGATGGTTTGATCCTCTCCCAGAAATCATCGTCTTTGAACGTGTTCTTGCGAGGAGAATTCTTAATACCAAATCTTATCAGCTTAAAAGCTTTGCCCATGACGGATCCTGTAGGTGGCGCAAGCTTGTAGTGCTTCTTCATCGCGATCAGGATGATTGGGCAAAGGAGGTAGCAGATTGTGGGAAGTGTGTATGCCCTATGATCGCAGTTAGTGGATGTATAATGAGTTACAAGGAAGGGGAAACGTACAGGTAGAAGGAGTGGAAGTGCTCGGTGTAGACCATTGCAATAGACCCGGTGATAGAACCGCAGTTGATGAGGAAGTAAAAGTAAAGATAAATGCGTGCCGAGGTCACTGCAGGGCAGACAATTTCTTTCTGTCCGTTCTTGCGAACGCGAACATAGGCTTTTTGGTCCTTGTATTGCTCTGCGATCAGGGGCGATATGTTACTCTTGAACCCACCAGTGCCGACGCCCATGATTACGAGACCAATCGAAAAGATGGAAATGGCGACTTTGGGCTTTACGATGACTGGAGGAATTGCCGATAGGATGAGAACGATGTGACCGATGATAGCAATGATGTTGGAGTACTGGATGGTCTTGTAGCGTCCCCAGTACTCATCAGCAAGCCAGGCACCTCCAAGAGGTGTGATGTAAGACCAAAACTGGTTGAACATAGTCAGTCCCGTACTGGCACGCTGACCCATATCGAGCGCTCCTGTAAGAAGTCAGTAAAACAACTCATTCACCTCCAAAAAGTTCCACTTTACCAGAACCAGGCTTCTTGAGGAATCCAGCGCCTGTAACTGAGCCTGGGGGTAAGGGTTTCTGAATGAAATCTAGCAGCTACAGTTAGCAAAGATTGCAACTAATGAACAGTACATGACTTGGTTCATGCTTACTGACGAAGACAGCGCTAGTGCCGTAGTAACTGAAGCGCTCGACAAACTCGACAACAGCCACAGTCCAAGCTTGCCATGGGATCTTTCCGGCGACCCTGGGGAGAGTGGCCCATTCTTCTTCAGTAGGGTACGGAAATGCATTGGTGCCGCTTGACACGGAATCCGTATCGAAAGGAATGGGATCAGTCGTCATGGTCGCTCCCTTGGTGATCTCGAGAGACGCCTTGACATCTGTAGTTGTCGCCATTGCGCCGTGAGACAGACCAGTGGCTGGTCTGCAAAAGCAAAAGTGCAAAAGCGCGAGACTCGCAGAAGTGAAGTAACACAACGAACAGTAGACCTAGAGTTAAGGGATGGGTACTTGTGCTCCTTCATATAGCGACGAGCGAAACTGCACCTCGGAGCATTAGACCAGACTTTTGCATGGGTGGCACGCGACAACCAGAGCGTTTACTATGGAGTTCGCCTCCTGCTCACATCTAGTCCGTGTTATCACAACCATTACATCCAGAAACAGTACCCATGACCCACGGCAGCTCGGCTAGTCCGGTCGAAGGATTCTGGCGCAAACTATCAGGCATGCTGCCGCGGTTAAGCGCGCTGTTGGAGGCTTCCAAGCCCGCTGTAAGACGCTTCATGAAGATAAGATAGGAATGAGAGATGGGGCTGGGCGCTGGATTGGCGCGGCGGAAAGGTTCAAAGAAGAGATGCCAAGCGGTGCTAAACAAGAAAATGATAAGGCAAGTCAAAGCTTCTGCGAGGCTCCGTAGTGCCAAGGTCCTCCCCGTTTCTTGCTCTTGTCACCTACTGATTGCGCGTTAGCCTCTCCAAGGTACCGTTCACGAGAAAATTGACTGGATGAAAGGCTACTCTATCTATGCGGGCCAAGGGCTTGGTCTTGGGGCGGTTGGGATAAGTGTTTTGTTATTACATGTCTCCTTCTACAAATGAACACGCGCGATATGGTTGCCAACGGGGCGTAGTGGTGATGGTGTCTCCTTGGGTGGTCAGGAAGCGGCGGTTAACGTTCAATTAAACTAGAGGTGCGCTGGGTGGGGCACAGCATTGTGTGGGGATCCAGAGTAGAACGTCCACCGAAGTCCCACCAACCCGGATTTCAAACTCCAATGTCGTCAGAATAACGCGGGGTACAGGTCTTGACACAGTCCTGTGTCAAGAGTCGTATTTGATAAATGTTGACAGTAGAAATTTCATGGAAAAGGTAGTACTAAACAAATAGTATAGACAAATCATACGTCTCAGCATACAGCAAATGATGAAACTGTCAAATAGTTGTGGCAGTTCAAGGCATGCTAAAGCCTATACGCTGCTGATTCCTGCTGAGAGATAAACTAACAATTGCCGACTTCATATCTATCAATAGTAGATCAAAAGAGCCACCTTGACTAAGAGACTACCAGCTGGCCGATCAGCAGATGCACAGTCATAAGCCTCGTTCCAACTGACGGGATCATGGATCGTGTACTCGGATAGGTCACGTCTCACAAGTGCCCCAGCATATGCAATGGAACAACCCATGACTGCAGCCTTTCTATTACTGGGATGTACATCCTTTGCCGCATTGTTCTCCATAGCCCCAGCGTCATGGTGCAGGCCCGGCGTTGCTCTAGTACTCTAGAATAGTATTACA